CATACTAGAGAGGTCAATGAGGTATACACATACTAGAGAGTCACATACTAGAGAGAGTCAGTATACACATACTAGAGAGAAGGTCAGTTGGGGTATACACATAATAGAGAGAAGGTAATTGAAGTAAACGCATACTAGAGAGAAGTTAATTGAAGTAAACACATACTAGAGAGTAGGTAATGGAAGTAAACACATACTAGAGAAGGTAATTGAAGTAAACGCATACTAGAGAGAAGGTAAATTGAGGTATACACATACTAGATGGACGGTGAATGACCTAGAGTGAAATGATTGATATTGGTTTGTGATGCTAATGGCAGGATAATGGCAGTCTTTATAAGTGGCGAGTGGCAGCGGTTCGTCCGTGGCACCGAAAGAGAACCTTGGGCATAGCAGAATGCTTTTTTTGTGCGATTTCATCTAAGTACACAAGATACCTGTTCATTATGCAAGGTATGAAGCCAAGGGGAACAGTGAGACATGGAAGATATATACAAATACTTAAGATATAGTAAATAATTACGTAGACTATAGCATAAGAACAACTACAAAACGATATAACTTCATAAAGAAACATGAAATAACACGAACACGAAACACCTGATCCTTGTCCGTTTTTGCTCCCCATTTTCGTAAGAGGCAAGAAAGCGAGCGCGAGCGACGTGCGTGCGTGTTACAGGGATATTTTCGCCGTGGGTTTGGGGAGTATTTATGGACACTTAGATACGACATGGCGTACACGGGTATAATAAACTGTTGATGCAAGTATATGTACGAGTTGCAGACATGGATACAGACATAAAAACACAGGTTATAAATGTTGGATGTGCGTTAAACATGGGCAGATACACACATAGATGCAGGTATAGATGTGAACAGACATGAAACTCTACTGTATTATTCTAATTTCGCTGACTGAGAGCAATATGGCAATATCACACACGGACATATACACAGGCCATAGGTACATACAAAAACACATGATACATATATACACATATGTGATGCAGACATAAGCAGATTACAGATCATGAATTGTAAGGCATTAGGAGGGTACAGGCAGAAAAAATAAATTTACTACTGTGACGAAGTGGACTATGCAATACAAGCTATACGGACCCAGATTAGCTCTGACCTTGCCAGCAGGTAAGCTCTAGAGACATAATGTAGCGCGAAATGATGGACAGAGGACTGGATCAAGGGAAGGTGACCCGCTTCTGGTGAGAGGAAC